AAGTCAGATAATAAATGTCTATTTGATTATATTATTAAACTAAAAAGTTTAAAGAAGATCAACTAATCATTGTAAATTTTATGTTTGTTTGTTTTTTTAGTGAAAAATTTTTATAATTAAAACTGACAAAACATGCTTTAATAATGAACACTTATCAATTTAATATCAGAATGGGTTTTTTGGATATTATAGTGACCAATGAAATTCAACCGGGTTTGTTGTGAGATAGTAACTCACTGAAGACAATGATGGACGGTGGTGCAATTTCGTGGATTTGGTGAAGTTAGACATTAACACCGTTGGATGCCGGTTAAGTGGTCTAGTGGTTAAGCATTCGCGCGCGAGACCGATAACTCCTGGGTTCGGATCTCGCGAGACAGGGTCGTAGTTGCGCACCGATGGGGAGTTCCATGCTAGGATGAAACAACCGCCCAGTGTTTCCAGGTTTTCATGATGATCTAGCTTCAATTAACTCATGATCTCAACTATTAAAACTTATCCATTTGACTAACATAAAGTTAAAAGAATTCATGACAATGCAATAGTTGGAGATGAGCTTCAGTAAGAAAAATAAAAGCTAAAATGATAGTGCGAATGGATTGTGTTTTTCATCATTTATTATTCGGTTTGAAATCATTCTGACTTTATTGAACAAAATCTCTATCACAAATTACTGAATTATTTAATTAAACAAGAGTCACTCTACAAAACAGGCTACTATTAGAATGAGGGTTTGTGGAGATTTAGTAATTTTCAATAGTTGAATTCATGAATTTATTTAAGCTGGATCACCATTGAAAACCTGCGCACTGTTGAGGAGCCCCACACTAGAATGAAATGGCCATCCGGTGTTTCCAGGTTTTAAATGGTGATGTAGCTTAAATCGAATTACAAACTCAACTATTAAAAAACAGACTACGCTACATGCTGGAAAAATGTAAACGTGATACATTACAGTTGTTGTCAAAAGATTATAGCGTAGATGCTTTACTATATTTCACCTATAAGTATACATTATATACTTAAAGAGTCAAAAGCATAGAGCTGACTTAAAATATTCCAGTTAACAATCGAATCTCATGAGGCGGAATTGTGGATCCGCACTTCTGAGGAGTCGCACAATAGAACGAAACTGTCGTCCAGTGCTTCCTGGTTTTCTATGGTGGTCTAACTTTAATTGACTCATGATCTTGACTATTGAAATAAATATTTGTTATTCAATTTTGATAAGATATTTTTAAATGTGTTTATTTTCAAATCTTTCGCTTTGCGTCCTCTCAACTCCGTAAACAACACCCCCACCGCGAGAAGGCAATGAGTAGGACTTCGCTGGCAGAGGTTGTATTCACGTGGCCATGTAAGAGCATTTAAAGAGAGAGCTGACTGTCCCCACTCTCGGCTGTACCAGGGTATTTGATGGCTTAAATTGAGATGTCTAACTGGTGTATCTGACACCATTAGTTGCTGTGACATATGCTTAGTAACTAAGTAAAGTTGATAAGTCGTAGTCCCCACCCAGTAAGTCGTTGATTTACAGTAACTAACTAACTTGTTTGCTAGACACAATACTTATTATTAATTGTAAGCATTTATTTTCTCCTACTACACGTATCCGAAGTTAAAACCGATCAATCACTGTGTTTTGTCCATGTTGTTTTATGATAATGTCCCAATTCTGTCCTAATTGTCACCATTAGTCAAATAAAAACGATTAGAACTGTTGGTATTGGGATTTGTAGCCTGATTTTTATGTAAAATTGAAAGTATGTAACAATGGAATATATTTTATGATTCACAGTATTCTGATGCGATACGAATTTAGTATCATACAAATATATATTCTTATAAATTCTAAGTGACAAACTGATTTTAGTTAGACGTCTGAAAACATAGAATCCCTGGGAGGCTGTTTAACTAAGTATGGAACTTTTCAACAGTCCTCACCCACGGCTTTTCACTTGGGAGTCGAACTCAGGACTGTTCTCGTACTTGTACGCTTAACCTCTAGATTACTATGTCTGTATTCAACGGTGTGAATGTATAACTTTAATTAATTCACAAAATTTAGAAGCCGTCAATATGTATTCGTTCTGTGTGTATTTTATTGTAAATTATATGTTAACCAACAAGTTGTACAAACATCATGCAACACTTTATCCATGACGATCTGGATTTAAAATATTCATCCAAAAGTATGATTGATTCAGTTAAAACAAGAATTCTAAAAATCATAAGTCCCAATTATTACATTATTAATTCCCTTTAAGTGGATAATTGTTTCCAGCTTTTATTCTGTAGATTATTAAATCTTTTTACATTTAAAACTACTACACAACGTAAGCTGACGATGATTTTGACTACCACTGTAGTGAACAGAATACCAGTGGGGACAATCGAATGTATTCAACACAAAATTACAGGACTTGTTAATAAAATCTAACAATCATAAAGTAAATGCTCAATTTGCAAAATGTCCATCGATTGCCTCAAAATGACTCAGACTTCATTGTTCTTGCATTTTCATACAAATTACATTTTGTTTCCATTCTTTACTGTTAGATCCTCTTGTCTCTCTGCTACCAGACCTTCTGTTCACGACTAACATCATATACTACTTATGTCAATATAAGTAGAACACACCACACTACTACTAAATGTTGCGATACCCCTTTCTTATTCAATACTTAAAAGCTTTAATTACTTCAAAATAACACCCGTCCATCTATAAACTACTATACGCGTTACTTAAAATTTGTTGATAATCATGACTATATTATGCAACACCACTTCATTTTCATTACCTTCACTTGAATAAATTTGACTATCTTTGATAATTTCATAAAATCATTCCGAGATTAGATGGTGGTTGGAGGTAGTCGACAGGAAACCCTGGACACGGGTTTCGTGCTACTTGGCACTCGTCAGCAAGGTGTACCTGTAATCTTGAGGGAACTGGTGTTCCCTGGCGGATTCTATCCCGTGTCACCCAGCTTCACAGTCAGAGACGTTACCACTGAGCTATCCGGGCCGCAACTGTCGATAGCATTCGATCTGCACTAAAATAAGGACTTGACATGCATGACATTGATCACCACCCAGTGATCAACTAATCGTTATAAAATCATTATATTTTACTGTAGACTATTACATGTGAAAATTACCTATAAATATGATTGTAAAATTTCAGAAAATGATATCGTCGTAAAGATAATTTCCTTTGCTAAAACATCTTCATTCGTTTTAATGAATCAACGGACTTCTTTCGTTGTGTCAAATTGTCACTATTCATAAAATAAGATCTTACGAATGTTTTTCAGCTTTCAGTATCTACCCATCATCTTCGATGGAGAAAGCTTTTCTACCAAATCAGCTTCTACAAATTTCATTTCATTCACTGTATAGTAGATGGATAGATTTTCATTGAAATCATGAATTAATCTAAGTTAAACCGCCATTGAAAACCTAGAAGTACTGAACATTATTTTTGTCCTATTGTGAAATTACTTGGTAGTGCTCGTCTACAAGCACGCATATGGGAATCGAGCTCACTATCTGAAGTCTCTCACGCGAATGCCCAATTTCTGCAGACCACTGAATCGGTCTCTGATGGTGTTGATGCCTAACTTCGATCAATCCATTTCACATTGTCCTTGATGGGTAACTGCCTCAAATCTGAGATGGATTTGCTCCACTGGCCATAAGGTCTCACTAAAACTCTGAAAATCTCCTCTTGAAGCTAGTCTCTGGTGAACACATGACAATTGTCAATAAGGGGTTGTTGAGATTGTTGAATTTGATTGGAATCATGAATGGATCTAAGATGTATGTATTCCAAATACATTTGTCCTTTATTTCTTCATAGGATAGATAATTACGAAATTCTTTCGATAAGTACATTGTCTCCGTTCGAGTTTTCAAGTATTTATCGTATCACTATGGTTTGGAAACGTTTTTTATGAGAGCACACTTAAATAGACATATAAAATTTGCGCTCATAATTATTTAGTTCAAACAAATATTAAACATGATGATTTCCTTAAAATACAAACGCATGGCTCAAATGTCCAAGGAAAATAATCTCAATAACCGAACAGATATTACATCTACTAACTTGATTTTAATCTAATATATGGATATGAATTAGAGTACTATGGTACTTGGATGTCCTGGTCCCTATTATATCTGTATATTGTTGAAATCACTTTAATTATGATATAATATTGGTTTCGTATAACTTTATAACATTTAGTAGTTGAGTTCATAAGTCAATTAAAGCTAGACCATCATGGAAAACCTGGAAGCACTGTACGGTCGTTTCGTTCTATTATGGGGCTCATCAGCAATGTGCATCCATGATCCCGCATCGCGAGATTCGAACTCAGAACCTAACCTGTAGACCACTGAGCCAGCACCCAACGGTGTTAATGTCTAACTTCAACAAATCCACGAAATTGCACCACTGTCTACCACTGTCATCAGTGAGTTACTATCTCACAACAGACCTGGTTGAACTCTACTTGTCACTGCTTCTCATTAGAACTCTAGGAAATACCTCTTGAATCCAGTCACTAATGAGCATATGATGATTATAATCATAAAAGATTTTTTTCAAATTTATCAAACTGAAAATCTTTACACATATTGAAAATATGATTATGTAATAAATATATAATTATAAGAATGAGTTTTGTGATTTTTAAAAATTTCACTGGTTGAAATCATGAGTCAATTGAAGCTAGACCATCATGGAAAACCTGGAAGCATTGGACAGCCTTTTCGTTCTATTATGGGATTCCTCATCAGTGCGCATTCACGATCCCGCCCCCCGCGAGATTTGAGCCCAAGATCTATTAGTCTCGCATCAGGCGCTTAACCGACTAGAACACTAAGCCGGACGACATCCAATGGTGTTGATGTCTTCCAGGTTTTCCATGGTGGTCTAGCTTCAATTGACTCATGATTTCAACCAATGAAATATATATAATTAATTAGTTACTAACCTGTATGTGTTCTAATATGTACATACATATTACTATAATGTCTTGTTGTATAATTACATAATTTACATTTTAATAATGATTCACCTGTACTAGTTGCATGGGTTTTTTGTAAATGTCTTAACAAATTTTTTTCAAATCGAAAACATTTATGACATAATGGACAAAACATATTTTGATCTGAAATAAATTCATTAAAATTTAATGGTGGAGAATATGAAATAGATGGAATTGTATTAGTAGTTGTGGTAGTAGTAGATTGTAATTGTGATCTATATAATTTTGTCTGATCAATAATTTCATTGAAATTAGATTTATTCAATGATATAAATGATGAATTCATAATTGTATGTTTAGTATTCAAAGAACAATCAGTGATTGGTGGTGGTGGTAATGGTGGTGTTGTTGCTGCCGCTGATAATGATGGTGATGGAGATGATGATGATGATGATGATGTTTGTTTCCAAATTGAACAATTCTGATATAATTCAGGATGATAATTCTCTGTACAACATATATCTGACCATAAAGGGTTACATTTAGAATGATATATTTCTGGTATATTAAATGAAGTCATATATGAATCTAAATGATACTTATTATCAACATGAAAATCTCTATTAATATTATCATTATTACTATTATTTTCATCATTGAATTGTACTGTTGCTTCTTCAGGAGGTAGATTATCATCTAATTTAAATAAATGATTACTTTCATGGTTTATATTCTTGATCAAATTGTTATCATCATATAAATTATTACAATTGATTGATTGATTTAACCAATGATATAAGCAATTTCTTGATTCATAATTATTATATACATTAAACTGATGATACGGTTCAATTATATTTGTTGATGATAACAACGATGGTGATGATAATGATGATGACGACGACGATGATAATGATAATAATGATGACGATGCCCAATCTTTGTTAGATGATAAATATTCAAATAATAAGCTATTTAATTTATTCAAATATTTTTTGATTAAGGCATTTCTATGAGTTAAATCGATTAGATCTGGATTTGTATGATTACCGTTACTATTATTACCATTACCATTACTATTATTATTGTTATTAACCGGACTATTAGTAGATTGTAATCTAGTCATTACGTAATTATCATAATTTGATAAAATTACATTTTGTAAAGTTTGTCGAAACAATTCTGTTCTCATTAATTTTGTCCAGGTAAATAATAATAAAGGTGATGGTATAAATTGTTGTATATAATAATATTGTTTTGTATAATTTTGAAAAATATTTACTTCATAATTATCATTTATGATCTTCTTATTCGGATCATTATTATTCTGATCATTGTTAAACTTATAATAATCACTATGGTGATCTAAATGATTGCTGAACATTTGAATAATATGATGTATACTTGGGTTATATTGTATAAATTATAGATTGTTTATTAAAGATACTGACAGTTAGAATAATGATGAACTATTCTTATTCATTTAGAAACTGTATAATAAAATAAAAAAGTGGAGATTTATAGCTCAGATGAATGATTTTGATGGAGTTTTGTTCTCTGAGCTGAATGGTTTGATCGTGGAGCTTTCATCGTTCCTCTGAACGACATCATCAGCACAAACGTCTATTTGAAGAACGATGAAAACTCCACAACCGAACCATTCAGCTAGTAGAACAAAACGCCATCAAAAATAAAAAGTAAATGAATGCAATGAAGAGATGTTTATGATTGTTTTTTTTTGAAAGAAAAGACATAATCTTGAATTACCAAATCAATATCTTATGTAACATACTTGATTTTTAGTGAAGAATATGATGACACAATTTAGAATAAAATATACAAAAATTTTGATGAAAATTGGCATCATGAACTGGTTGATTTTAGATAGAGAACTATTGGAAAGTATAGAGCAATTGATAGTTATTTTGTTCTGGTATGAGACTTCACAGGAAATCTTCCAACGACCTTCTCTGGAGTTAAATTCGTGACCTTCAGATTACTGAGTTAGTGACATCGAATAGCTTACATCTCCGGGTTCAATTAATTCGTGACATTATTGTTGTCTATAAATAAGAGGGGTAAGTTTGCGACTAAATGGAATGTGAGTGACCGATAAAATTGATTCCTTTCAATCGCCTATAATATTTAATCATGTTTATTTTTCTGTTCATATTTTGTGTACAATCGTTTTGTTTTATTAGAAATAAAGACCTATTCATATGTGTACCTGAATTTTCAGTCTACCATAGACTACTGGTCTTTTATTTGATTTCAGATCATACGACGGCTTAGACCAATGTTCTTGTAAGCAGCTATCATTCGATCACATTGTATCCCTACATATCATTCATTGACAAGTATTGTTTTATCTTATTTCAACAATCGCAAATTTGGTCATGAAATCAAGAAACTTTAATCCATAACTTCATACTAATGTCAGTCCTTGAATATAAGCTATCTTAACATTGAACGATATCTCTGAAAAGAGCAGGAAGAAGCCAATGCAATTTTACATACTGGTCTCATTCAAATGCTCATATCTTTTGGAATATAAATATAATGTACACAAGTACCTATTAGGTAATATAATAATGATGTGAATAACAGTCTGGTGGTTTTTAGTATGCAAGTTGTACAATTCAATGTTTGAACTGAGAAGAAAATAGGGTTAAATAATTCTAAGAACTGATAACTTTGTAACAAATATTTTATTTGCAGTGATCAGTCACTGAGTAGTGACCATTGTCATCTTGTACAGTTCTTGATGATAATTTTGTCTTACAAAAACTTTTCAGCATAAAAATACCTGAATAATTTATTGAATACAAATAACATAGTTAGTGGCCTGTTTGAACATATGAGTTACCTGCTCCTCCCTACAATCTAGATATTTCAACAAGTTATCTGTTTTCTTGTTTGTTTTAAAACATCATTATGTCTATGAATTGCATAACCTATTTTTAGATGCCTTTCTGAAAAGTGTACAACATTTCGTTGTACAAGTTACAAAACAGCCCAATCAGAGACATCGTGTTTGCTGTCAATATGCAGCAAAAACAATGTACATTATTTCGAAGTCATTTGACTGAATACTAACTTCTAACTGGTGATCACTCAATACATTATCTTCAGGATCGACCATAAGTAAGAAACGGAACCTTGTTGAATTACATTGTGTTGAGAATTCTATATTGTACCAAAAATACAATACTGAATAAAGCTAATAAATAAATAACATGTGAGTTAATAAATATTAATTTCAATGGTTAAGATCATGAGTCAGTTGAAGCTAGACCACCATGGAAAACCTGGAAGCACTGGACGGCCGTTTCGTTCTAGTATGGGACTCCTCAGCAGTGAGCATCCACAACCTTGCCCCCTGCTAGATTCGAACCCAAGACCTACCAGTCTCGCGCACGAACTTTTAATCACTAGACCACTGAGCCGACTGGCATCCAACGGTGTTAATGTCTAACTTCAACAAATCCACGAAATTGAGCGATACATCCACATTGTCTTCAGTGAGTTACTATCTCACAACAGACCTGGTTGAACTCCACTGGTCACTACTTCTCACTAGAACTCCAGGAAATACCTCTTGAATCCAGTCACTAGTGTGCATATGTTGATTAATATCAGATGGGTTTTGTGGATATTATAGTAATTTCAACTGGCTCATGATCTTAACCATTGAAATTACTATAATATCCACAAAACTCATCTGATAATAAATATTCATTTAAAACCAATACTTAGGGTTAAGTTTAATAATGTGACAATGAAATAACTGAAATTCAATAGAAAAGGTGTGGAAATACTCTACTCATATTGCTTATTACTAAAGGCTCAAATCTTTTGCAGATTATTTTTATGAAATTAAAACATTACATAGCATTTAGCCATCCCATTATAAGACGCTTTTTTGATAACGTTTATAGGAAATCAAAAAATCAGACAACTACATGTAGATAGTGTTGAATGATGATAAGAATTTATTTCAAAATCGATTGAATTTGAAAATATTGGCTACTGGATTCCAATTCAAGGATACAGTTATATAGGATCATGGGTGTATATTACTATTGAGTTTCAAATAAAAAGTCAAATATGTATCCAATATTCCTTGATGTATTATAGTTTTCCAACCACTACAAACCAATGAACAATGGACAACTGTTTTATTCTGATATAGGATTCCTCAGCGCGAGATCGAATGTTTTAGGCTCCCAGGGCTTCCAGTTTTCAGTGGTGGTCATGTTAAGATAAATTATATTTTTAACTTTTTTAATGTTATGTATGTCGATGATTTAATGAACTCAAGAGCCCTTACAAAAGGGTTAAAGCCAGTTGTATAGGCAATTGACACTAAATTCGAGTAGATCTGTAATATGTAGTTTGTAATTTTTTTTCCGAGTCGTATATTATATAAAGAGATAGGAAGCCATCGTAATAGAATTAATGCATTAAACATATTGCATGAGGTGACAGACGATATCGTAGAAGAAAATTGATCAAGAATCATTTGTATGTGAAGATGTGAGACTTTTAATCACCGTGTAAAAATATTCTTCGTATATGATAGTTTAATAATATATTTCTTATCATAAAATACTCAATCAGTAATCAATTTGTGTAGAACGTTAGAGTAATGATACTTATGAATTTCTCATATACACTTTAAATGCTAATGGGTTAAATGGATATTAAATAGGAAATTTGTTACTATATTTTAGCTTAAAGTCACTTTACTGTAATGAATAAAGCCACCCTTTGTATAGCTATTATTATCAGGAATATTATTAGAATGGGGGTTTGTGGAGATTGTAGTAATTTTAATAGTTAAATTCATAAGTTTATCTAAGCTTAAACCACCATTGAAAACCTAGAAGCATTGGACGGCTGTCACGTTCTAGTATGGAACTCCTCATTAGTGGGCACCCACGATCCCACACCAAAGCGACTCGAATCCAACACCTTAAGCTCTTGCATCTGAACAATCAACCTCTATCTAGACCATCGTGGCGGCATCCAACTGTGTTTATGTCTAACTTTAATCAATCCATGATTTTGCTCAACCCTTCATCCATTTTCTTCAATGAGTAGCTATCTCACACCCAACACAGTTTGAACACCACTGGTCACAGTTTCTCACCAAAACTCCAGGAAATCTATCCGTCGGATGCCGCCTCAGTGGTCTACAGGTTAAGAGTTCACGTGCGAGACAGGAGGTCTTGAATTCGAGTTCCTTAGCGCGAGATCGTGGATGTACATTTCCAAAGAATCCCATACTGGAACGAAATGATCATCCAGTTATTTCAGGTTTTTAATGGTGGTCTAGCTTTAATCGACTCATGATCTCAACCATTGAAAATACTATAATATCCACAAAACCCCTTCTGATATAAAATTAGGGATTGGTTGTAAATAAAGTAAAATTATCAATATTCCCACTAGTAATTTCCATAATGTTCCGTAATTCAAGAACTTTTTCCCTAGTTACTATTTACTGTCTTTTATAAACAGACTGTTGAATATCAGACGGTATTGAAATAATATAACTTTCTAATTCCGGATTCATCAACAGTCAGTATCCACGACTCAGTATAGAATCGAACCTAAATACAATTTTCATAATTCAAAGTAAGATCACTAATAATGAAATGGATGTTTATTACAAAATCACGTCATTATTTCAGGCAAACATGTACTTTTTCGAATTACATAATTGAAATTACTTAGCACAGTTATTGTAAGTGTTAACTTATAAGTCACATATCCTGCATTGTTGACTGAACTATATTGATAAGAAATTATCACAATAGCCAATTAAGTCGAAGTGTCAAGGCAAATGTGAACTTAACCACTGCCACATAATCCATCTCAAAATCATTCAACAATACATCAAATCCCTATTCTTGATAACTATCATGAGTACTTTAGTGTCTGGCTTCGATAGAGAACCCCTTTATTTCTAGTGAGAAACCAGGTCTAATGGAATTGTACTGTGTCGTGTATAAGAAAGGTATTCACCAAAAGCAATTAAAGGTGTTCACATAATATCGCGGATTGACTAAAATCAGATATGTGCACCGATATATCTTCCCTCAATGATCAATGATTATATGAGTTGTATGTATCTGGATCTCATTGATCATGTTCATATTTAAATGTAGCACCGAACATTATGAATATCATCGAATTATATACTTATTCATTGAATCTAATGATGTGTATAAAGGGGATGACATTAATTATATTTAAGGATTTATTCATATTTGGTAGTAAAATCCGACCTAAGGCCACCTTATGGAGCTGCTAGATAGTGGAGAAAACCTTGCTAGTCAACTTAACAGGTCGCAGAGATCGAACCGATCACCCACTCTATTGTATCTGATCAATCCTCTAGGGTTACCAGATGTATATGTTTATGTATGAGAATT